AACAAATGAAAACCCAACAACCACCAGCTATAACTACGGCTGCACCAGTGTAGATGTTACAGAGGTTGTGTGTTTAACAAAGTGGAATGAGTTGGGGAGATAGCTCAGCTGTTCTTCTGAAGGTCCTGAGTTCAATTCCCAGGAACCACAGTAAGGCTCACAACTGTCTATAATGGGATCCGATGCCCCCTTCTGGCATGCAGATGTATATGCAGGCAGAGGACTATTTTTAAAACCATAAAAACAATGGAATGAGATATTTTCACAAAGCTGTGTGGGTTTCTGGGGACTTGCCTCTATATGTAGCATGAACTATCAAAATGGAAACACTGGATTGGAAACAAAGAACTGGGCAGCTGAATGGTATTTACCTTCTCAGGAAAACTTAGAATTTTGGCCACATGAACTGGCACAGCTACTTCATCAATCCGGAGGTTGGGGTCAGGTGAGATGACTGTTCCGCCAGAGAAATCCACCCTCTTCCCTGACAGATTACCTCTAAATCAATCTAAATAAATCAAAACCAACAAGGGTTCCATGATATGCCCTGTGCTGTTTCTGGGGATCTGAACAGCCATATACTCCCTCAGTAGGTAACAATGGTAGATCTTGTCAGGAACCTACCCTGCTTCCCCTTCAGGCACTGGACAAAGCCTCAAGTCCACTTCTTGGGGGCCATGTTGAGGGGGATGTCAGAGAGCTCACTGTTGATGTAGAGGGCACACTGCAGCTGCAGGAAATCCCAGTCTTCCATGATCATCTGCGTCTTGGCTCCTGAGATCCGGTGCTATGAGTACAGAAAGATCAGAAACAAACCTGCTCTCTGAGTTTTCCTGCATTCTAGCGGGCTAACATCTCTAGATGCATGTGATGCAGAATGCACAAGTTAACAGGAGACACTGACCTTTTTAATAGCATCATTTAGGATCTCACCCAAAAGTCGGGTGAGAATCAATCAGAGGGCTTTCCAGCTTCTGGGATGTGCTTCAACAAATTCAGAACAACTAAGGTATTCAAGTTCTCCTATAGGAAGTAGGAAGGAAGGAAGGGAGATAGGAGGTTAGTTTCCTCAGGGTTGGTAAAGTTATCTGTTGTGTCATGTGTTGGGTCCACACTGTCCTTGGAAGAAACAGGTGCACTCTAGGATAAATTTTAGCTTTTGCTGCTGCAGGGGAGTCAGCCTCTGTCCAACTGACTCACCATAGCTTTGCAAAGGGCTTTTTTATGGAGTACAATTCACACCTTTAGCAAGTCAATTTCTGCATACCAAAACCTCTTATCTGAAGCTCCCCAAAGAGACAAATGCCATAGCAATTCCCAGACACAGGACATCTCAGTTTGCTGAGTCCTCCCACAACCAAGCTCTGCATAGGCTTCAAAACTTTAGGAAACTCTCAGATAAGATTTACATACTTCAAACAGAAGGTACTGGACACAAAAGGTAACAGTCACAAAAGGCAGATCAAAGCCAGGTGCCAACACTTTGGAATCAAACCAGCTGCAGAACTCTGCATATCCTTCCCTATGTTTGCTTTTCTGAAGACAGAATCCCATGCAGCCTCAAACTTTTTATGTGCTGGAGACTTGCCTAGGGCAAGCTGGCCAGTGAACCCTAGGGTTCTTCAAGTCTCCACTTTTCCAGAGTTGGGATTATAAACATACACCACCATGCTGGCTCCTTGACCACATGTGGGTTC